AAGATACCAATTACACATAAAAGTCTTATTTTGTATGTTAGAAAATCYWGTTATAGCCTCTGGAATTTCCATTAATTTAGYTCTTCTCRAAAAAGKCAAGAGRAACTGAGCTSTGCAATCTTCATCCCTGCAGTGTCAYTAGCAGTGAGTTRGAAAGMGGTTTTRTCCCTTTCTTCCAACAATCTGAGCTAACTTGGCCATTACAGAAATGCATCACACTTGGGCCCCTGAATGTCCACATCTTCCATCAGCTTCTGAGTGCTTGACTGGTTCGTGTGGCAAAGGCACAGCTCAGGCCCTTGACACTAAGCACAGCTTGCAGAACTAATGACAACAGTAGAATAGGCAGGAAAAAGGGCCTGGGAATGGGGCTTTGTCTGCATAAGATCCTGGTTTTTTTCCTAGTACAAGTTTGTCTCCGTGTCCTCTTTAAAGCTCTGCTCAAGGTATTCAGTATCTGTAGTAAATTCTTGTACCACTGTGCAGCAACCTCCCAAGGGTAAGAGCCGTTCCAGATTTCACCCTTTCTTCCAATTACTGTTTCCTTTTGTGCACACACATTTTCATGGTTTTTTTTTCTGTTCCTTGCTGTGTAGGAGGAGTAAAACTGATTAAATTTTTTCTGGTTTCATCCTTGAAGCTGGAGCTTGAGGTGCAAATGGGGGCATGGAGAGTTATGTTGGTTTTTAGAGGTGTTGCCTCACTCTTTACCTTTTCTCCCACTACCTGCTGACTCCCTGATAAAGTAAATATTTATGAAAAGTACCTGGAGAAAAGCCCCACGAGTCACCATGAGAGTTCATTGTGATCATATAACCAACCTCACCACAACTTGATTTAATCATTTTCCTTTACATGTTTACATTTCTGTTWGTWAATCAGACTTGAACTGAAATGCTGCAATTTGACTTTTCTCTTGAAGCTCAGGGTTTTCCTGTTTACATGGTTTTTGGTGAATGACAGTGTCAAATAATGGGTCAAATTCTTCTGGCAATTATATAAATTAAGAGTAATTCTTTTGCTTAAAAATGTTTGATCAGGAAAACACAGAATATATTTGGCTTACAATAAAAACAGAGAATTTTAGTTTTGTGTGAAAATAAACATTGCTGTGCTGTAACACCCTAATAATTATTCTGCCCATTTCCCACATTCCGTTTTGTGCTGGCTTCCCTGATACAACCAACCTGCATTTAAGTGTAACAGTTGAGAAAAAAGTGATTTTATTAGAGGAAAGGTTTGAGAGTCTTCAAACTGTTTGAGAGAGCAAAAATATGGAAAGYACAAGGTGACTTTGAGAATGTGGCRTCMTATGYTAAAAAWGTTAAGTGAGGCCCTGGAGATCATGAGGTTGGTTCTAAACCATGGGAATCCCTGAGTTCTTTTGCTGACCTTCCTTTCCAAGCTTATTCAGGATCTGCTTTCTGGTTGCCAGACASGRCCCTGTGTCTTCACTGGGCCTCTTCAGGAGAGGAGAACCTGAWTATGGACTATGGGCTGAYTTGAGAAAGRRACCATAAAGTAGAGGTAACAAGGTTGACCAARAGGTTCTGTCACGACTTCATAAGCCAAACCTCGCTCTGCCTGAGGACTGGCCAAAATGAAKTTAGAAGAGTTTCAGSCCTTCTTAGGCACYTCCTTCCCTCAGCTACTTCATATGGAAGRGTGCTTCCAGGGCTCTGGTGCTTGGGTTBGATCACATGTGTGCTGATTTCAGCTGTGTTCCTGGGAGATGTGTGATGAACTGTGGGGAAAGTCTCCAAAAAGCAAAGCTTGGAAGTCTATCTAAGGCTTTGCCTGAGACAACCAACTCAGGCTGTGTTCTCTTGCAATTATGTTAATTAGTCAAATGCTTTTCAGAAATTAACCTTTA